TTTTTTTTTTTTTTTTTCAAAAAGTTACAGTTTAGTAGGTTTTTGTTAGTCCGGTGGGACCCTACTTCTGGCTCCCGCGTCATGTAAGTAGTTAGCCTAGTTTGTCAGTTTTATCTAATAGGAACTTCTCAAAATACTAAAACAACGGGATAGGGGGACTTGGTGAGTATGTGTTAGCGATAGACATTGCTTCAAGGGAGCTTATAGCGATTTTTAAAGCAGAACGTTAATATTTGGTAGTCGAGCATAAATACAACCATACATAGCAAAGAACGGAACGATGAGACAATAATCCCCTTTTCCCTCCAATTTAAATTCTTATTTTGTTTGTCCCAGAAGCTGAATCAGATCTTGGAAAATCAAACCATAAAACACTTGGCTGCCACAGCCATATGAAGTATAAAAAGTATTTGTCTCATCGGTGTAAATTAATGAGTACACTTCCAAAATAGGAATTGTGCACAACTGAGGTCCAGAAAAGAACTAATGAGGACTTGAAGGCAATTAGCAGAAAACGTGACGATACTTGTCAAATACTCTTGGGCAACCTACGGTTGCAATATTTCTGTAATCGTCGTGAGATCTGCCTCACTTTTTTTTTGACATGTTTTGTCTATAGTAAATAAGGCTTCCAGTTTTGACAAGCTTTGACGAATATGTACATGCATCCCAGCAAACAGTTTACTGTCAGGATGTTTCTGCAGGAGCTTCTTGTAAAAATTCAAATATTTCCCAGAACGCGTCGTCTATACATACTGGATTCTTTGGCTCCTAGATAACATGGAAATTATGCTAACAGCAATTCATTAAATTTGGTGATGCATAGAAATAAAGTAAACACGAATCTCCCCTATAAAAAAGCTGAGTATAGTACTTGAAAAAGTAGTTCCTAGTCCCTTCTCCCAACAATTTAAAAGGGACAACATCTTTCGGTTGAGCGCAATGGAAGTTTTGTTGACGTGTACTGCAATTGTTGTCGTAACTTAACACTGGAATTTCCTATTTCAGCCTTTAGAAAATATACTCACTATGTACCCCATACAGTGTGACTTTCCTCGCCCCTCCAAATCGCAACAACAAAGTAAATTTAGAAATACATATTGGCTTTCAGTGACATAAAAAACTTTTCTAAAAATTTATACGGTACGAAATAAGGACTTATTTCCAGTTCTCAAACAACCATTTTATCAGCAATATTTTTGGTTTTCTCCAGTGAAGTCTTCAATCCAAAGCCCTACGACTTACTATCAAAACACCTAGTAAAAATTTTGCTCGCCTCGTCTTTTGTCCTTCGAAATCGTTCAAGAGCTTCTTGAAGACGATCGGCAAACGCTTCTATCCATCTAACACATTGTGACAATGCTGTAAAATCAACTTTCTTCGGGGCTCGACCATCCTTCAACAGTAAATCGCAAAACTGTCTTGCATATCCTGTCAGATATACGAGGAAAATTTACCCCATTTGAAATCTCATTTGCTTGCCAAAAAGCAGTAATATTAACAATTTTGCCAAAAAAGCATAAACAGTAAACTTTCCTTTAAGAAATTCCCAGCTTAACAAAGCTTTTCATAGATATACAGTTGTAAATCGACAACAAACGTCGACATTTTGATTTCTTTGTGATAAACAGGACTCAAAAACTGACTATTGAAAATTAACATAATAAATCGATGATATATAACAATCAAGTTACTATCTGAACTAACTTTGATCCCAGTTCGCCGGCATTTGGTGCCGCAGATGCATATTGGTCCAGTTTTTGGCTTGTAATACAATTCTCATTTTTCTCAAAAATGACTCCTTCTCAACCGTTCTTGAAAAAAATAAAGGTTTTCACAATTACTACTGCGCAAGCGAAATGTTAAATGAAAGCATCGAAAAAAATTGTACTTAATTTTTACCAAACCCTGCGTGAAACAAATGTAATTGTTAATATCGTACTCAACAGATTAAGAAAGTAGAACTATTTAAAATGATTATGACACTATTCGCTTCCTCATATTTTAAGTCCGGTTTTGAAGGTTCTAATATACATGAAAATCAAGCTTTTCTTCAAAACAAAAAAGGAACTACGGACAGCTATTGAACTGGAAAAGCAACAAAAACAATGTTTTGCTAGACCGAAAAATTTGAAAGGAAAAGAACTTTTATTCACCTAAAATTCTGTAAACTGTGGTCCAGCCTGCTTTTCATCGTCTTCCTAAACTCATATTTGTTTTTGCCGTTCACTTTGTCCAGCTCAACTGTTCATTTAAGACCATTTATTTGAATTCCAGCCTATCTTAATTTCATGTACTGCTCTGAAACAAAAAAAAAAAGCATCTTAAACCCTCTTGCAAAGACCAATTTTTTGAAGTATAATGCAACTCACTTGAACGACTCGTTAATTCTACATAAAAATTTGTAACATTTAGTAAGAAGATACTGGTTCGTTATCTGATCCGACGTTGTATAACAATTCTGTACAGCAGACGCCGAAGGCTAAAGCATATTCAAGTTTAACTTTTTTATCTACCGTAAAAAACTGATAAAACTAATGCTGATTAGAGCTACAAAAGCTTCACGTGAAAAACTCCTTTTCTCAAAGAGTAACTTCATCACCAGATTTATTATAAAATTGAACTTCTCATGATTCAATCTTCTTACCTCAGAAGTACGTCATTAATAAAAAAAATGTAAGTTTAAGTTTGAAAGAGATTCAAACAAACCCTAACATCTGGGAGTTGCACAACTCTTAAGGCAGGTACAGGATAAAATGCTAAATACGGTGTCACAGGCTGCCAGCAAAATATACTATTCCACATAATAAAACTAGCAAAATCTTGAATATAACGGTTGCCACCGGTGTCTAAAAAACTAAAAGTTATTTTTAAAAAAACAAGGAGCAAACAGTTTTTGTGTTAAAACTTTTTATAACTAAAAACAATTAAACTGCATGAAATCGATGTAGAAGTGAGATTTAACTACAAAATGCACCTTAGCAAACAGAAGTTCAAAAGTGCCCGTCTCCTTGAATGTCAGCATTCAATCCGCACGGATACAGGAAATTTTGCTAAACGTAAGGCGTTCGTCAAGAGCAGCACAACCAACCGTTAAAGAAATGCAGACTCATTTTAATTCTCATAACTCATGTTCCTGCTGTAAGGTAATGAAACAACAACTGAAGAAACATGTGTCCTTTGCCAGTGGTCATTTGCTACTTTGTTGCAAAAAACCTAAACTAATAGCACGGCAAATCTCACATAATTTCGAAACAAATGTTCAAATTTAAAAACCCATCCGATATCCAACGTTCATTCACCTTGAATTCATTCACTACTCTGTATACAACTTTTTATCCCTTCCTGATCCTTTCATATTGGAGTCACGACAGTAATTGAGGACCATCTGCACTCACTATTCTTAAAACCCCTTAAATAAATCTTTTTAATCTACGCAAAAAATTGTTATGCGTAACTTGCTCCTTGCATGACAGGTAGCAAAAGTAGCAAAAACCGCAAAGACCAATAAGCCAAAATTAGAACATTTAAAAATATCTCGCTCTGATGTTTATGCAGGGATTCAATGCCAAATTTGAGTCTCATTAGGCATACGTGAAGATTTCACCGGCAACCGGCAGGCCGTCAAATTTCTCTACTTTGATCTTTAGGAATTTTTACTAAATATTTTTCAAAGATTGGTTGTTCTTTTCCTTTGAAAACGGCAGGGGAAAATTTCTAGTTATATGCTATTTGTGCACTTAAAATTGCAAAA